CTTTCCCCTTCCCTCCACCTCCACTGCTCCATGATTTCAGCCAATAAAATTATCCTTCTTAGTGTTGACTTTGATGCTGTTAAGTAGGCGTATACCCATGAAGAAATGAGTTGTGTCTGCTTTAGTAAGGGTCAAAGACACAGCTACAGAGGGGATCCTTTTTAATAATAGCTAAAGATCCTTATTTACAAACAGGTCACATGGGAAGCCCTTCCTTCCAGACTGGAGAGGGAAGTAGCTTGGAGGAAAAGACCATCATTCTGAGGCCTTGAGGCTGTAGGCCAAGGGCAAAACACTGTCCCTCTCCACAGCTGGGCTCACTCAGCCCTAGGCGGCAGTGGCCAGGGCAAGGAGCACCCTTCAGTGGTGGCCATTGTCACAGCTGGGCCCGGCCTGACCCTGCCAGGCTACTCTCAGACCTTCTCCAGGGAGCTTCTCTGGTTGGAAACAGACCCAGAGACTTCTGAATCCTTTCAGCCACACTCTGGGCACAATCAGGAAGGTAGGGATGGGGGCGGCAGGAACATAGACTAAGGAGCTATTTTTGAGTGACTGGAAATAAAAGCTAAACACAGGTGTGTTCTTCACAAGTGGAAATGTTCCCAAATCCACAAGAATTCTTTATAAATAAACTAAAAAACAAACCATTTGAGTTGCCACATTTCATCCTAGTTTCCAGGGACACACACAAATAGTCCCAGTCTTTGCACATTATTGCAGGAATCACAGAGGGCTTATGGGCACTTCTACTAAAGGTGTCTGACTCATTTTCTAGAAAGCTACAGGGCTAAAAATTATCACAGAACCTGCCCTGTGACACCAGCCACAACATAGAAAAACAAGGCAATGGGCAACCACCTTAACTGACTATGAAGGGAAAATACGATGGAATTTGGGGTAAATCGAGAACCTTTACAGCAAAAGCAATTGATTCAGAGAGCAGCAATTCAGGTCTTTCATTTCAACTTATCTATAATAATAAAAGCATAATATGCTAATTGGACCGGATGTCCTTCTGGGCAAAGCCCAGGCTGCAGCCACGGCTGCAAGGGACGGATCCAGGCAGTGGCTGCGAAGGCCTACTCTTGCACAAATTTCATGCTTCAGGCCTCTAGTATGTACAATAAAGATGCATATCCAAATGCATGTTGAACAAATGGTGAAGCTGTTCACTTTACAATATCAATGACACAGAATCATCTAAATGAACTCGAATGATTTCTTAACTCAGAGGAAGATTTAAGAATTTTCTATAAAGTCAGCAGGGTTTGATAGACTCAGACTCCATTTCTCCCACTTTCAGCAGGCAAATTATTTATGGCTCATTTGTTTCCTCCAAATTCTTATTGAAATCTCACCCTTTGAGAATTCTGAACTATTTCAGGTAGATTTTTCACCATTGTTACCTACTTCATGTCATGGCATTTCAGCCCAGGCAGCAAACTAGGCCCAGACACAAGAGCCCTTTCACTCCCGTTTCTAGGTCAGAGAAAGAGCAGCTGGAGTTGAAATGACAATTCCTAGGATTATAGGTATCACCCATTGGCGAACCCCTCCCTTGTGAGAGGCACTTTATACCCAGCATCTTAGTAAATCCTAATGGCAGCCCTGTGAGGCCAGCTTTATAGATGAGAAAACTGATGCTCAGAGGGGTTAAGTGATATCCCCAAAGGCCCATAGCCAGGAGTGGTGTTACTGGTGTTTCTGAACTGGTGGCCTAGGTGGTACTTATCAGTTTAGCATGCTGCTTTCAACCAACTGGAATTCTAAGTCATTCATGAAAATAAAAGTTAAAACCTAGAGGAGCACAGGATGTGTCAAGAGACCTGATGTCACAGACCATATAAAATAAATTATATAAACAAAATGATATAGTGCAAAGGACTTTTTAAAGCAACGGGCTCGCAATGGGCCCGAGCGCATAATACAGCATGAGTTAAGACTGCTGTATCATCAGCTATTGAACAACCAGCTAAATGGGCAGACAGAGGGCATCCAGGCAGCAGGAACATGGTTTGGGTCAAGTTAGGGAGGACACACAAGCAAGATGGGAACATCCCAGGAGAGTTTGTTCATGTAGAACAGTGACATATACCAATGCTAAAAGGCCAGACTGAGGCCAGACAGACTGGGCCAGTGAGTACAGGATAATCGAGTTGGATTTTTTTAAAAAGGAAAGTTACTAAACACTTTCACTGGAGCACGGGGGTTTCATGAGATGATAAGAAGGGGCTGGATGCTAGAGATGAAGTAGCCCTCCACCTTTGGCCACCTCAGGGCTCTCCTCCAGATCAGGTGCTGTGGAGGGTGCTGGGGGAAGGAGGAGGCCCAGGGAGGAGCAGCCTCCATCCAGCCTGGGCCTGGCTTTATCACAGACAGGAAGTATCAGGGATGCAGGAGGGCAGAATCTCTAGGTTCTGGTGCTGCTGATCTGGGGCGGGGTAAGCAAGAGTCAAAATGACATGGACACTCTAGGCCTAAGGAGCAGGATCAGTGTGAAAGCCAGGTGAAGGGCCAAGTATATGGCAAGGAGGGCAAGGCCATGTTCTGCAAATGTAATAATGATATCTGTAAGCTGCTTCACAGTTTCCAAACTGCTTCCTAATACATTAAGCTATGAAACCAGGGAAACTGGGTGCAAGCTTTGGACACTCTTGCTAGCAGCCTTCCACACGTGTCCATTCCTTTCTCCCTCCTGTGTGAATGGGACCAGGAGAGAGTCCCTTTCTGACTAAGCTCTTCAGAAAAACCTGATTCTTTTTATCAGACTGGATTTCAGGCCGGGAGGAAGGAAGGAAACCATCGAGATGAATGTGCTCTCATCATATGTAATCAAATGACAAGGACTGGAATAGGATATGTTAAGGTAGGAATAGATGTGTTCAGATAAAGGACTATCCATGGGGTTTTTTCTTCTCCCCAAACCTTATTAAATATTACTGATACATCTGGAATTCAATTAAAATGAGGCTTCCCCCTTCAAACAAAAACAGGAATATAAGCCCCCTCACCCCCACTGTCAAGAATGGCAGTTACTGAATTCTCTGCTTGCTTTGCCATCACAGGGGAAAGTGCTCTCACCCCTTTTCTGTATTTATGCTATTTATCAAAGTATTTGTATTATGCCTTACACCCACTTAACAATTTCCCTATCCTGAATGTTAGGTTAAGGGTCTGTTTCAAAATAGGAAGTGCCCCAGGCATAAGAAGCAGCCCAGAGGAGACACAGCCTAGGGACCACAGGAAGGGTGGTAAAGAAAGAGAACCACTCGACCTCCTAGGCAGAAAGGAACAATAGGGCAGCATTTCCTCTCCTCTGATTTCCTCCTGCCATGGAAAACACCAAACACCAACAGAGATGCATTGAAATAAGTTTAGGGGAGGATATTTTATAGGTAAAAAGATGGATGAGTTCTAGGGTGATCATCAAAGCAGGGAATAGTTTGCTATTCCCAAAAGGTTCCTGTCCTTAACATTGTCTAGCATACCACTTTCATATGGAGTGGGTGACGGGGCCAGTTCTCTCCCTAAAATAATTTGACCTTTGGCAAGCTACTTAAACTCTGATGTCAATAGCTGCCTGGCATTGTTGGCTCAGGCTCTTTGTTAAATCCTCACCCAAGGAGGGAGACCGGAAGAGAAAGAGAAAGAGAGCGAGGGGGGGGGTGGGAGGTCACACCTGGGGGTTCCCCTCCTTCCTCACGGCCCTGCGGCTCTTCTGGGTCTCTGTAAACATGGCCTTAGCAGGCGGTGCCTCCTGTATGTGCCCTGATCCAGAATTGAACCCACAACCTTTTGGTGTACAGGACAGTGTTCCAACTAACTGAGCCACCCAGTCAGGGCATGGCTCAGGCTCATAAACACACAACGTCTACATCCATTTCTTAAAGGTAACTTCCTTGATTATAAAGGTAAATCAAACATGACTTTTGGGACACCCTTGGGGTAGGAAATCAGGAGAGGCGGCAGGAAACACCTTGGTCCACTTCCTCTCAGTAATGGCCAGAGGCCGTTACCCAGGGCCTACTTCCCATGCTGGCCCCCTGTTCTCTCTCCCCTCTCCCTGCACCCTCCACCCCTCTAGACTGCCAGTGCTCTCAGGCCTGCATGAGTGCAGACAGCAATGATGCCTGTGCTAAGGGAATTATATGTTCCCTGCCACTCACCTGCATATAAGAGTAAAACCACCAATATATCTTAAAGATGGTTCAGTTTTTCATTGTGATGGATCATCATAAAATTCCTGTACTTCAGAGGAAAGGCTTAAATAACTTATCTTTCAACCATCTACTTGGTGAGTAACATTGCATGAAAGTATAAACAGTACGTGGTCCAAGCCCTGTTAAGCTGCATCACTTCATACAGATTTTATAGCTCTCAGTATGTTTACAGGACTCTGCCCATAATGATAATAAAATCATTCAACCTTCTTAGCCCAAACAAGGCAGGTAAAATTCTCTCAAGCATGCTACCTGCCTTTGATCTGAACAGTAAACATTCTTTAAGTATTTTCTGCCTGTGAGGCATGACCTGCTTTTTGAAAGTGTCTCCTTGGACACACCATGACCCAGAGCTTTGCAGCTAGGGCCACTGTGCAGTCTGGGCCCTCCAGCCATGCAGGCCACCTTCTGGGTTAGCCTTTGTGGGACAGACATTTGCTGCCAAGCCATGAAAATCCATAGCTGGCTCTCAGGCAAACAGAATCTAGTTGATTTTTAAATTCATTTATTCACCTAGATACACTGGGCTTTGCCTGATGCAGAGAAAAGACACAAGAGTCTTCCTGAGGAGTTCAGGACCATGAAAGCCTCACGTTTCAAGGGCTAAAAACAAAGCTTATCCTATCCAGGCAATCCCTCAAAGCAGTTCACAGTTTAGAAGGCAGGAGGGAAACTTTGTTTACCTTATTGATGAGAGTGACTATATCTCCTTCTTTGATTGTCAATTCATCATCATTCTGTGCCTCATATGGAAATATTACTTTGCAGTAATCCTTGGCTGTAAGAAGAAAAGAAAACACAATCTTTAAAATAATTTATCTAATGAGCTGGCTCAGGAGAAGATAGTCTCTATCACATTAACTTCAGGGAAGAGCACACTTACAAGATAGGCTATAACCACTGCATAAAGGATCACCCTCAGAAAACTACTAAAGATTGCTCATTTTGGGTGCATGCATATTTATTCTCTTTATTTTTTCCCCTTACAAATTATATGACATCATGATATGCCATTAACTGCTTTGCTTATTTCAGGCAGAAAAGCAAAAAGGTTTCCTTGGTCCCAGGAAAATATGCCATTTTATATACTGTTTGGGTGCTTGCATAAGCAGACATAATCTACAAAAGAGCAAAAAACTTAAATTTTGCCCTCACCATCTCCTTCCACACATTGATAAATCAGAAACAGGGTATTTGTATATGTTACAAAGCTGACATGGTACTCAAAACAATGAAAAAGACTCATTATGGTACATCTTAAGAGACTGATGTTGATATATTTATATGTAAACATGTGTCAATCACAAATAGCCAACAAATACTGACCAAATGTTCTTTACACACACACATGCCATGGCATCTCTGTGGGAACCTGCCTGTTTACAGATGGGGCTGTTCACCAGTGAGGATACGCAGCAGCCCTTGCCAAAGAGGGAACGACACAAAGGCTACTCAAAATCAGTTCAAGTATGTCCTGAATTCTAGGCCTTTGAAAGTCTGTCTGATGTGAAATCTCTATTTACACAAAAGCACCAATTCTAAAGACTAAATACATTTGTAAGGTGTTTGGAAAATTAAGACTTAGAAAACTGGGGTTTTCTGATGTAGAATGAAAATTTCAAGAGAATTTGTGTCTACTGGGACAGGCATTTATTATCCTGCATCAAAGTCAATAGTCCTAATGGTTTTAAATAGCCTTACAGCCTGGCCAGCATGGCTCAGTAGTTGAGCATCTACCTTTGAACTAGGAGGTCATGGTTTGATTCCTGGTCAGGGCACAGGCCTGGGTTGCAGGCTTGCTCCCCAGTGTGGGGCATGCAGGAGGCAGCCGATCAATATTCTCTCTAATTGATGTTTCTATCGATATTTCCCTAAAATTATTCTAGTTCTTGCAGACAAATCACCTGGAGCGACATACATACATATTATCCATACTACAATTTATGTCACTGAAATGTGTTATTATGCTTAATGTCACATCAATCAAACAGTTATATATAAAGTAAAGGCAATAAAAATCAAATCTGTAATACAGATACACTATGGTCTAGGGTTGGTCTAGATAAGATAGGGAGGAGAAGGGAAGGAAAGAGTAAGAGGACTCACTTTATTCCTATGTAGATGCTTTTGCTTTCCATCCAAGTTATCAGTTACTTCCCCTATCCTAGTGTTGGAACCCTGTCATCTTAGTTACTCTGGGTCCCATTAGCCTCACATTTTAATTTATTATGCTATATTAGAAAATAAGAATTTGTTTTTACTTTTGAGGCCTTTGGGTCCTAATTCAGTAGTATTGGGAGACAAAATCATTATGTTTGTTTTAAACCAGTGGTTTTAAAATACTCAAAAATAAACATATAAAAAGGGTATTAACTTTTGATTAACCATGATTTTAATTTTATAGTATATGGAATGAAGATGTTCCATAGTTTAATTCAAAAATTTATTGAGTCACCACCTTTAAATAATATTGTCAGTTCTTGGGCCTACAAGTCACTCCAACTACTCTGCTACATCCTCACATTGAAGTGATAACCTAATGCCTGGAGAAAGGGAAGGGGGGAAAGAAGGATGGAAAGAAAAAACAAATATGAATAAGCACAAACTCAATATGGTGCAATATTGTTGTGGTGTTTCGGAGAAAGGCAAGATTATGTTCAAGAAAGAGTTCACAAATGTCTTAAAATAAAAATATAATTCCAAAGCCTTTTGGCCATGAAAGATAAATATTAAATGAGTAGTAGACAGAGATGGAGAGGAATGGAATAAAATTAACTTTAGGAGGCATGCATTTTTCAGCTACTCATCAATTAGATGAGTTTAATTAATCCAAAATCAAACAGGAATGAATACACATGTGCATATATAGAAATAAAGGCACAACTTATCCAGTGATTGAGATGATTTTGTCTCTATTTTTTTTCTTTAGAAATATTTAAAAAATACTAATGAATTAGCATAAGACTGAAAACCTGAGCCAGTTCTTAGGCTCTTTTTTTTTGTCTTAGAGTCCTTTTAAGAATCTGATAAAAAGAAATCACTCTCTCTTTCTAGAAAAAGGAGAAAAACATAGACACATTCAAAGGTGTAGAGAAAATCTGTACAATATCAGAGGTTTAAGGACCCTGAAACCCTTGCCTAATTCCAGTCAAGAATCCCTGTACTAATTGATTACTGGCTACCAATTACAGAAGCATGTTTGGTTAAAACCACCAAGAAGTCCATGAGTCACACTAACCCCCCACCCCCACACACACACACATTATTTCAATCTCTAAACTTCTAGAAATTTACATGAGATTAAAAACAGACTGTTTACGGAACTGAACTCACATGCCCACATCCCATGACTCCCTTTAGCTGATTTTATAAACTGTTCATATAAAAACAAACAAACAAACAAACAAACTTAAAAAATACCCTCAGCTTAAAAAAATAAAAGCAAAACAAACAGAATAAACATATCAGCAGGCTGAATATATACACACACAAGGAAATAAAATTAAATCCAGAACAATTCTCTGGGCTTAATATCAGGACACAAAGATAAAAAAACCCATGTGTCACAGAGTCTGGTAGGAAGCCTTCCAGAGGTAGAAAGTAATAGGTCACACCTAGAACTCTTCTCTTCCCGATTACCAGAACAAAAGTAAAAAGCTCTGTGGTGTCTATGTTCACCACCATCAAAATCTGAAATTCTTTCATTGAACTGACAAATATTATCTGAGACTCTACGGGTTCATAATCCTTTATCCAGAAGCCCTGGAGACAGAATTTTTCTGATTTCAGAAAGGGGATATTTTACACACTCTATCTATCTATCTATCTATCTATATAAAAGCACAGCAACTGAATGGTAGGACAACCAGAATGACCAGTTGATCATTGCTATGATGCACACTGACCACCAGAGAGCAGACGCTCAATGCAGGAGCAGCCACCTGGTAGTCAGTGTGCTTCCACAGCGGACCAATCCCTGCAGACCACACCCCCACCAGTGCATGAATCCATGCACCAGGTCTCTAGTTAATATATAACATCTTCACCTGGGGCCTGGGGCTGCAACCAACCATCAAATACATTAAAAGTCTGCAACAAATTAATGATTTGTCATCCCAAGTGGAATGAATGAATGAATGAATGAATAAATAAATAAATAAACACTACATATAGATGCATGTTGGTCCAGGACAAATTTTATCACCCAAGTGACAAAACCTTTTAATTTTCCTGATTTTTTTGTGTTTTGAAATTGCAATAAGAGTGTGGACTTCTTCATGTTCTGGGAAAAGAGACTGAGTTAAACAAGACTAGTATCTGGCTCTCAAGCAGCTTATAATCAAGGAGAAGAAATGAGGCATGTAGACACAGAGCTCTTAACAAGGCAATAGTGAAGAAAGGATGAGAGCAATGCACGCAGCTTAAAGCATCAGAGTATCAGAAATGAGGAAATCATTTACCAAAAGAGTACCTTCTTGGAGTAAAATGTCACTGGGCTCTGGGCAACAACCTGGGACTTTGAGTGGAAAAGTAGGAGTTGGGGTTCCCAACCATTCCTGATGACAAGGTTGGTGTGGGGCACCTGTTCCTTCTATGCCAGCGGTTCTCAACCTGTGGGTCGCGACCCCTTTGGTAGTCGAGCTACCCTTTCACAGGGGTCACCTAAGACCATCCTACATATCAGATATTTACATTATGATTCATAACAGTAGCAACATTACAGTTATGAAGTAGCAACGAAAATAATTTTATGGTTGGGTCACATGAGGAACTGTATTTAAAGGGCCAGAAGGTTGAGAACCACTGTTCTATGCCTTCCCAGGCCCCTTCCCTGGGGATCCCAATCAATAGGTCTGAGGTGGAAGCAGGAATCACAAGTACCCTGGTGACTGTCCTCAGCATGGAAGCTTAAGAAAAATTAGTCTAGGGCAGTGGTCGGCAAACTGCGGCTCGCGAGCCACATGTGGCTCGCGAGCCGCAGTTTGCCAACCACTGGTCTAGGGCAGTGGTCCTCATACCTGAGTGAGCATCAGCCCTATGTATAGGACTTATAAAAACAGAACCCCCAAGCTTTCTAATTCCCCAGGGCTGGGGATTTGCATCTCTACCAAGTTTCCAAGTGCGTCTGCTGGCGGTCCAGTGACCACACTGTGAGAGCCACTGATCTAGCCATGAATATCAGCAAAGATTCGATGCTAGAAAGGAGCAAAACAATTGAGGATATGGAGCATGGGCCAGTTTGGTGGTGCTGTTGGGGCTGGGGTGCTGTGTGATTGATTTAGATGGGAAGTCCAGTCCTCAGTCAGTGTCTGAGGATCCAGAGCTAGTGGAGAGGGATGGAATGGACATTAGGCTTGTCATTCATTCAATATATATGATCTTATTGTCCACAGTGAGCTCAGTGGCAGAGCTGCAGCAGTGCCCTTGGGGGGCTTACTATAGTCTACACCAGTGGTTGGAAACTGGAGATTGAGTTTGCTCCCCCAGAGGACACTGACAATGCTTGGAGACATTTGTGGTTGTCACTGGGGAAGAGGAGGTAGAAAATGTTATTGACATCCAGTGGGTGAAGCCGAGATGCTGCTAAACATCTACAATGAACACAGGATAGCCCCACAACAAAGAATGTACTGGTTCAAATGTTAACAGTGCCAACGTAGAGAAGCCCTAGTCTACACTTAAATCCAGACAGGGAAGCAAAACACAATGCCTACATCGCTATTTTATGAACACCTTCCCCCATGAAAAAGCTGACTATGACCCAAATCACAAGACCAC